GTTCTCGATCAAAGAAAGGGATGACTCCTCATCCACGAAGGCTGCCTGGGACTTGTTTGCGGCCTTCTTCCTACCCATGAACTAGCGGAAGCAAAAAGGCACTGGGGAAGACGAAGCTAGGATGGCGGCGCTCGGGTGACGGCGACAATGGCGGCGGCGGATTTCTAAAAGCTAGGGTTTCAAGGCAAGAGCTGGGCAGTAAAGAAAAGGAAGATAAAAGGTCTTTAAATAGATTTTACAGCGATAAAAACGGCCCACCAGGCCTGTTAAAATACGGTGTGGGAACGCAACGGTCCATTTACTGACACAGCTAAAATGACGGACGGCATAAATCCACACAACGGTATAGTTTAACGGGCAGATTTCAGACTTATCCATCCAGCACCACGGCAGAGTTATCAAATTACTACAAGAACAACCCGTCAACCATGAAAAACGAAGGGCTACCTCACAAGGAACAAAAGAACCCGGTTATTATAGAAAGAACTCAGGAGTCTTATGAACAAAAAGGATTACAGCAGAAAAATGAATGACAACTCAAAAGACAAGATTCTTTCCATTACAAGTGGCTTCAAAAAATAGAAGATTACACATCTTACAAGACCCAACGAACTCGGTACTACGACAATCAAGGTAGCAAAGAGGAACCTGGACATAGCTAGGCTCTGGAACGACTACGTGTCCCAAATTGCTACCCGGTAGAACAAACCGTACTCGGCTACACTGTTTTCTTCAAAGGACGGACGCAGTGCATCTAAGGCGGAAATCAGCAGCACGGCGGGACAACATAGACCAGGGGAAGTCGGTAGGCATCTGTCTACCGAAGCCCGACGTGATGCAGGATCAGGTGTTGATCTGCACCGGACAATCGCAGGGCGGGCAAGAAAGATCAACCCAGAACTGCTGGATGAAGAAACGCATCCCACATCACAAGACTTTCTCCAACTGCCACCACGTACTTCCAAGTACAATGCTGCTGCGGGATTAGTCTACCTCTAATCCCTATCACAAGACTTCCTCCAGCTACGACAAGACGCACAGGAAATACAAAATACGCCCGGAGGCTGCTCTACTTCACAAACTACCATATTCATGACCACGAAGGCTTCAACAAAATATTCAATGGATGAAAACAAGCACTCCGGAAGGGTATTTATAGATCGATGGAGCGACGCACATGGACTAGGAGTACCAACGAAACAAGCCTAACAAAGGACACAGTGAAAAGACAGGACTCAATAATGGAAGACTCGGGCGAGAAGGAACAGTACTCGAAGACGAGCATATTCGGAAGAATATGCCAACACGGTACAACCCGTGAACAGGCAACATTTACTCTCAACCACCACCACACAACTGCACCTGACAAACGGCAGACTAATAGAGAATACGCCAAGACAATGCATCCGAGTTCTTTTTTCAAAGAACCCGGATAAATGCTCAGAGGCTGCAACAGGGGAAGATTTCAGTTCCTCGAACAAATCAGACTCAAGACCCTCCAACTCTTTGTTCCAAACAGCAAGAGGCTCGGGGGCTATACTCAGTGAGTGCATTTTTTCTTCAAAAAAAGCGCACGTCACTCGAAAGGCTTTTTTAAGATAGCAATTTTCAGACAGCATAAGATTCAAGATCCTCCAGCTCCTTGTTCCAAATAGCAAGAGGCTCGGGGGCTACACTCAGTGAGTGCACTTTTTTCTTCAAAAAAAGCGCACGTCACCAAAAAGACTTCTTCAAGACAAAACTACTTGAAGGACTCATAACAAAAAAAGACGGACCGAGCTATATCCGAGTTCTTTTTGACAAAAACCCCGGATACATGCTTGGGAACATTTCAACGAAGGATCAGAGCGATTTCAAGATAAGACCCTCCAGCTCCTTGTACCAAATAGCAAGAGGCTCGGGGGCTACACCCAAAGGGGAGTACTTTTTTCTTCAAAAAGGTACACACCACGCGAAGATCTCATAGAGCGCTACACGGTTTCGCTCAAGAAAGCACTCGGACGACGCTTGTTCCTGCTCGGCAAGACCTGAAAGAACAAGACGAGGCTTCCAGAGCACAACCATGAAGTGCTCGGGGGCTTGTCGGTGCAGGACCCACAGGATACCCTGCAAGAAAGAGAGAAGATCTAGTCTAATTAAGATTCTCTCCTTGTAATCTTAGTAGTAGTATTATTCTGTAATTCTACTAGAAACTCTCATTGTAAACCGATTAGGACTTTGATCTCCTGACTATATAAAGGAGGGCAGGATCCTAGAGATCACGACTTGGACAACATAACAACACACAATCAATACAATGCAGAGGCTAACGCCGACTGGACGTAGGGCTATTACTCGATCAACGATCGAGTGCCCGAACCAGGATAAATCGACTGCCTCTTGCGTTCACCGTCGAGTTCCACATACGCCTTAGCCCGAACACACTGTCCCGGGTAACCCCGTGGCAGGCTATCGGTGGTAAAACATCGACAATTAGGAACCCAACAAAACCGATAGAGAAAGGGAGCAACACCAGATCTGCGAGGGATTACAGGTTACCTGCTCAAACACCGTGGATCTGGAGCAAGAGGAAGTGAGGATGCATCACCTGCTAGCACCAGTAGGATCTGGACGAGCAGGAATAGGAAGCGAGAGAGCTCAGAGCGGAGAGGCAGAGGGCGAGTGCGAGGGAGAGAATGGGGAGAGGGGAGGCGGCGGTAAGGAATATAACGCGGAAAGATGGCGAGAAAGGGGCAGCGGTAACCCTAGCTTCCCCCGCGCACGCCCTCATCTCCCACCTGCATCCGGGGAGCCAATTTTTCTAGCCGTTGAATGCTCGCTCTCGTCCCGCGAGAGCCAGGCCTCCAAGAAACGGAATCCCAGCAGCCAGGCTCGAGGGAGCGTGTTGCATGCCCAGAGCCAGACCCAGAACCCAGACATCCAAACGATGAAAAACTGCATCCCGGAGGCCGGACCAGGACAGATACAATGAACCAAACGCGCCGCAGGCTTCTTCGTCGTCCCGACTCCCGACGGGATTTTGGTGGCGAGGCAGCAGTGGGCTCTGGAGGCACTCTGGTGGTCTGGCCGCGGTGTGCCCGTGTGCGCGTGCGGCGTGCCGAACCGTTGGCTGGGCCGCACTTGACCAGGTGGCTCGTGCCTGCGTGCCGGTGCTGGCTGAATTTCAAAATGTTCATTTGGCGTTTGCCTCTTCCAGTTCCACTTGTATTTTTATTCCGTCTACCGGTGCGGTGTAGCGTGACTGAGACGAATTAAAAGAACAGTTTGATTACCCAAAGAAAATGTTAACCTTATCTATTTTTATTTACTGTTTCTTGCTCTCTCTCATGTCTCACCCCCACCCTTTTAACTAAAATTTGTATTGGCGTCGCACCATGTAGCTCTTGGCTTGAGTAATTCGCCTGAACCTGATCGCGTCACGATTGTGCCATATTTTATCATTCGTAATTTCACGATATGGGCACATGATAATCATCTATTTAAATTTGAGTTAATCTCGTATTAACTTCTCATAACTGAATTAATCTTTTACTGCACTAACATTTATTATAGACCTTGAAATTTATTGATTTCATAAGATTGGGCTAAGCACAATTAAATTAAAGCTAACAAAAATAGTGCACGTAGCTCATTAGGCCACACCCAATGCAGAAATCATTATAGTTTCTATGGACATTAATTGTACTGTCAACTAAGCGTTTTGCTGATGTAGCAAGGTAGTTATTGAAGAGAGAGATAAAAAAACATAGAAACCGGGTCTAAGTTAGAAACTATGTCTAAACGAGAACTAAGACATGAAGGGATGTGATTGGTAGAGAATAGAGAGAGAATATATGTGATTGGATAAAAAATTGTTCTGTAGAAACTATCTATCGGAACCATGGTTTCTATATGGAGTGTCTATAGAAATTAATAGGTACAAAAATTACAAATAGTTTCTAGCATTGGGACTGCTCTTAATATTGGCACAAGTACCATAAATCAGATTATACATCCCGTTACAAACACACATGTTTGCTAGTCCTATAAAACATGATTGCTCAAAGCCATTCCCCTTTTTTTTTAGGTTGGTGCATGAAGATTTTGATCTTTCTTCTATTTTCTTATTAGTATCGGAAGAGAAGAACAGAGAAGAGAGAAGTCCGGGGAGAGAGAAAAGGGAGGACGAGACAGCAGCTCTGTTAGCGTGCCCTTAAACCCGACTTTGATCCGCTTCTTTTTTCATCCGAAACAGTATTTTTCTCTCACAAATTCCTCCAGCATTCCTCCAAACCATCCAAATTCCTCCAAGCGAACAGGCCCGCTACCGAGGTCTAAAAAGATGACATTTCAAACCTCTATTAGCTGCTGACGAGAGTCGGGTAGAGGGAGAAAAAAAATTGAAACGGTGGCGTAAAGGTCACAATAACTTTTTTGACCATCCATATGGATTTTGGATCTTTTATAGTGGCTCGTAAGTAATTGACTCTAGTAAGTCTAACTGCTTCCATTACTAGACCCGCAAACCGCCTTTGATTTCATCTAGTATGGAGCAGAGGCACGAGGCCAAAGTTAGGGAGACAATTAGACAATGCCCTTGAGTCCATCCGAAGAGCATCTCCAAGGGCCTTTGTAAAACAAAACTCCAAAATAAATGGTTTCGATGGTCTCCAAAATAGAAAACACATATATGTTCAACTGGATTGTAGCGGAACTTAACTATCCACTACAATCTATCTCAATACATGTGGATTGATGTGAATACATGTACAGTAAACAAGGACTAATTTCGATAGCAAGTGTTGCCCGAGTAGAAAACATGGAATGGAGGACTTTAAAAAAAATCTAGAACACGACTCCACGTGTATTTCATTACTAGGTTCATGCCCGTGCGATGTTACGGGATAGTTAATATTTTATACTAAAAACACACAGATCGTACGATAAGAGAACAATACTGTAAAATTAAATATCAACGTTAAAGTGACATTTAAACATCGCTCCCTTCATGTGAAACAGTATTAACAGCCTGAACAAGAGAACATGAAAAAATGAATTAAATAGCAAGTAATTGAAGAAAAAAGAGGCTTACTCTTTTTCAGCTTCCGCATAGTCTCCTCCAAATCAACATGATTGCGCTGGAAATCAAAAATTTTAATTAGAAAATAGTGGTAAAGAACAAAGAATAGACTAATCTATAATTTATAAACACAATAATCAAAGTTAACACGTACATCTTCAGAAGCAGGTGCAACAACTTTCAATCCTTCATATTTCAATGCGGTAGGAACAGAAGCATTGGCAGAAGCCTGAGAAAAAAAAATATGATAACATTAAAATAGAATCTGGTGAAAATATATATAAAGGCATATAAAAATAACAAACAAACAATCAAACACCAACTGACCTTATGATTGTTAGGAACATGCAAACTCTGAGACAATTTGGGAACACAACCTGGAAAACTTAAAAATTAAAATTGAAACTTCAGGAAAACAGAAAATTAAGATAAACTAAATTAAAAGCTAGAGTAACAACAATAACCTTTGACATCAGATACATTAAGAGGCTCACTTTTAGCTTCTTCTGGGGCGGGATCAGAAATAACAGCAGCAACATTCTGTGGACTTGCATCAACAGATGAAGGATCAGCATCATCAAGAGTAGGATCAGTCTGAGCAATAGCTTTCATAAGATCTAGGACTAAGTCATTTGTTCTCACATCAATACTACACACATGTCGCATCAGCTTGGCAAACATATCTTGGAACTCTTTCGAAACATTGCCGAGAGAAGTGACATCCATGTTCAAGGACACACCACAATTAAAGGAATGCTCGTCAATCAACCTTGATATTTTTAGCTTCAAACTTAAAAGAAGTTTGCAACCAGAAACAGCTTCCATCTTTTCACAAAATCCAACATCAAGTTCATCAGCAAAACCAACTATTTGAAGACGAGCACACTGTCCGAAAAAAGTTAATAATCAAATAATATCTTATTTAGATTTAATCAAAACATATGTAGAAGTCAACATCCATTTACCGGTGAAGTGGACCGCGACGCCTAAGAGGGGGGTTTGAATTAGGCAACTTAAAATTCTAACTCTAAACTATGGCCTCTTTTTCTAACCCTAGCAAAACATATGCAAAAGATAAACTATCTAAATGTGTAACTACAGTTTTGCTAGTGTATTGCTATCTCTACCGCAAAAGAAGTAATGTAATCAATGTAAATGCGGAAGATAAAAAGCAAGGTAGAGATACGCAAACTCCCGTCGACGACTCCGGTATTTTTACTGAGGTGTCGAGACGCGCGCAAGCTTCCCCCTAATCCTCGTTGGAGCCCCTCGCAAGGGCCAAGCTCCCAGTCGGATAACTCCGTGGATAGCCTCGGGCCTTCCCCACGCGCAAGTGGGTCTCCGACGTGCCTTCCGGCAAGCCTCTCCTGGATGCTCTCCGCCGTCTTCACTATCAAGCTTCCGGCCGAAACGCCGCGGGCCTTGTTCCCTCCGATACACGGTGGCGGCCACACCACAAACGCGGTTGGTGTCATCTCGCAAGACTACAAGCCCCTCCGATGTACAACAATGGTGCTCGCAAGCATCGAGTAGTAAGAGGTATGCAAACCTCACTAAACACTAGGCCTAAACCTAGAGCAAGCGCATGAGCGGTGGTCTAATCAACCTAAGCACTTCGTAAAGCACCTACGTTAATCACTTGATGAATCACTAAGCACTATGCAAGTGGAGATCACTAAAATGGTGTATCAACATCCTTGGTATGTTTCCTCAGCTCCACACACGTCAAATGGCCGGTTGGGGCTGTATTTATAAGCCCCACTGAGAAAGTAGCCATTGGGGACGAAATCCCGCTTTTCTGCTACTGACCGGACGCTGGAGTCATCCTGATCGGACGCGTCCAGTCATCCCGACCGTTGGAGCCGCGAACAACTGATCTGACGCTGCCAGCGTCCGGTCACTTGCCACCGGACGCGTCCGGTCGCAAGTTCGCCACTCTGGAACCTCTTTGTACTCGATCGGACGCTGCTGTCCTGCGTTCGGTCGGTTTGCCGCCAGCGTCCGGTTGCTGCTGCTGTTGCTGAGCCTCTGATCGGAGCGTCCGGTCGCTTTTCGTCAGCGTCCGGTCCAGCGTCCGATCACTGTTGTGAACTCGTTTCTTCGCGATCTTGCATGCAGCTTGGTTCCTATCTTCATGCTTGGACTTTGCTTAATATCTTGGGTCTTCTCTTGTGCTCCTATGGTCTTGCTTGAGGTGTTGATCATCGGATCATCACATTACCTTTGTCCAAGTCACGTCTTGCATCCTATTGAACTACAAAACAATCACTTGCAAATTCATTAGTCCAATTTGATTGTATTGGTCATCAAGCACCAAAATCCAAAGTAAATGAGCCTAAGATCCATTTTCCTTACAACTGGAAATCAAAACCTGTACAAAAAAATGCCAACATCCATATCCATAGTAATCAATCCATGTGAAAATGAAAACCGGTGACTTAGTAGATTAGAATTAGACAACCATTTTTTTAGCGGAATCGGGCATTTTGCCATTTCATTTAGTAGATAGGAAATCCAATGCCACGTGACTTACCGGCGAGGTGCGACATGCAACAGGCTAGGGTGGCCACGGCGCGCGATGGCGAGGACGCAGATTGGAATTGGAAGTCGGCGATCAATGGGTCAATGGCGGGGGCAGTCGTGGCGCGTTGGGGTCGTCGTGCTGCCCTGGGCCGTGCGGCTCACGGCATCCAGAAGGGCGACGACGCTCGTCGACGTTCGCCGCAGCTCCTGCGGCAGCTGTTCGGCGAAGTCGTGGACGGTGGTGACGAGGCGGGGTCGGGATGGTCTGGTGGCTCGACGTCGAGGAGTAGGTGGCAAAGAAGAGCCAGATGGGCGAGAGGTGGAGACGGCGGATCTCCGGAGACGGCGGCGTCCGGCTTGGCGAGGTGCCGGTGCAGTACGGCTGGGAAAGGGGCGGCGCGGGGACGTGGGCGCATCCATGACTCGCTGCCCTGGCACGGGGAGATGGGCAGAAGTCGGCGGTGCTGGCGTTGCCAACGGTGGCCCGCGCGCGAGGAGGATGGTGGTGAGGTGGCGGCGGCGGCGCGGCGGAAAGCGGAAGAGGAGATGAGGGTGGGTGCGAGGGCAGCATGAGGCCGAGGGCTGCGGCCTGCGGGATTTGGAACAGAGGAAATTGGGGATTTCCTTCCTTTTGGAGGGCCGGACAAACACGGTATTGACTATTGAGGTAGGAGAGAAGCGCCCCTCATGCATGCGCGGGATTTGTTTCGCACGACGAAGGGAACCGGACGAGCAATAATTTGTTTCGCAAGCTGTCAACGATTCTCTTATGAATTTTTTAGTCGTAGAGAAGAAGAAGGTAGCACAAAACAAACAACAGCCATCAGTGGCGAGATGCCAGTATGGAAAGGTCAGAGACACCAGCGAGCTTAACGTAAAAGCTACATTTTGAACAAATGCGCGACTAGCAGCAGACGCTCAGCGATAAGGACCCGCGGCCACCACCAGGAACTGAGAAATCGCCGTGAACCCCGCGACGACCCACTCATCCCCTTCTTCCAGCACCACCCGCGCCGCCTGGCTTGTCGTGGTCACAACGTTGTCGAAGACGCGGGAGTTGCGCTCCTTCCACAGACGCCAAGACACAAGCAGTACCACGGAGTCGAACCCCCTCCGCAATTGAGTAGGTACCAGCCGACGGGCATCCATCCACCACGACGAAAGCACGGACCCCGGCTGAGGCGTGAGCTGATCCCAGCCGCCGGGACGCAGCAGGCGGAACCACAGTTCCCGCGCGTAGACACAGGAGGTCAGGAGATGATCCACCGTCTCGTCCTCCTGACCGCAGAGCGCACACTCGGCCGAGTCCTGAGGCCATGCCTCCGTCTGCGATCCGCCGTCCAAATGCGGCCATGGATGGCGAGCCAGAAGAAGAACTTGGCCTTCGGCGGCGCAGAGGCCTTCCAAAGCTCCTTGGCGCCCAACAAGGAAGACATCCCCAAGAAGAACGACCGGTATGCTGACGATGCAGAGTATGCACCATCCGGCGTCCACCGCCAGACGAAGCGGTCACCGGCCGACGGCCTCAGCTGAACGGACTCCAGCTTCTCCCAAAGATCAACATATTCATACAACACCGGGGCTGTGTGAGCCCCTGTGATGTGGCGCACCCATCTGCGCTGGTATAGTGCCTCCTTGACAGAAACCTTCAGAAAGCGGCGGCCAATGGCCCTGAACAGGAGCGGCGCAAAAGATTTGATGGGTCCAGCAGGCAACCAGGTGTCGGTCCAGAAACGGGCCGAGATCCCGTCCCCCACCTCGACGAGCACAGAGCAGGTGAACATGGCGTCAACCATCTTCTCCGGCTTGGAAGGGAGTCTCGTCCAGGGAGGCGCATCGGGACTCCGCTTCTGCCACTCCCACCCCAGCCTCAGTTTGAACCCAGGGTACAGTATCTGTTGGACGCGAATTGGGCCTTCTGGTCGTAACAACCAAACATTTTTGGCCATTCGAGGACCTGTTGGACCAAAATGAACTAAAAGAAATTCGGTCATCTATCAGTAGAAGCCAAGATCGAGACCAGAATTTCAGTTGTCGCTGAGTTTGGTCTCGGATGACTATATCCACCGCAAGTGTGGCCAGAAGCCCAGAACTACAACGGCCAAAAGTATGCAAGGGGAGAGGATGGATGATGTTTTAGATTAGGATGATATATGTAGGAATGTATATTGGATCAACTTGAAACCTATTGGTGTTTCTAAAGTGCAGCTTACACTAGATTATTTCTTGGACCATTTGTTACATCGCTTTTTCATGGAGGTCAGTGCTCACTGCTTTGCAGAAGAAACATTTATCCTCTGCAATGGGCCTTGTCAAGAGTAGAGACATCCAACACGCATCAAAAAAAGGAATGTCAGCCCATGAGGTTGGGCCTCCGTTTTCGGCTTTCCTATGCAACTGTCTGGGCTTGGCTCGTCGATTTGGGCTACAGATATCTGGACTGGATCTCCAGAAATCAGAAAAGAATATGTTGGGCAGGCAAACAACTAAAAGATTTCCTCAAAAAAAAAAAAGGCCAACAACTAAGAGAAGCCGAAAAGTCTGCATCAGCAATGGACCAATAACAACAGAGTTCCATTCAGGAGACCAAAAGAAGAGAGCAATGACAATATACTTGGCCATGCAGACTGCGGCACGAAGGCCTCGCACGGAGCCCGCTGTTTTGGCCCGGCACGAGCACGGCCCGACCCAATGGCGAGCGGGCCCAGGCTGGCACGGCCCAGAAGAGTAGGTCGTGCCTGGGCCTTACCCTAGGCACGTGGGCCGGCACGGCACGGCCCGGTGGCGGCCCGGCTTGCTAAGAGCCCCACCCCCGAACGGCAAAAAAACCTAGCCACATTCCTAACCCTACCGGCCTACCCCGCGCCGCGTAGCCTCCCTCTGCATCCCTCCCGCAGGCGCAACACCGCAGCCTCTCTCCCTCCGCATCACTCCCGACTCCCGTAGGCGCGACGCCGCAGCCTCTCCCCCTCCGGCATTACTAGCGCAGTGCCGCAGGCCGTAGCTTCTCCCCTCGCGCACAGTCCTGGATCTGGGCCCCGGACGCGCTGTCGGTGCCGCGCGGGACGCCCCTCCCTCCCGTCGGCCCTCGCGCACGGGCGCCGATGCCGCGCCCCCACGCGGACGCCCCCTTCCTGCCTCCACTCCGGCGGCCGCGACGCGCGGGGGTTCCGCGGGCTGTAGAGACCCGGCGGGCACGTTCGGGCGGAGATCCGGAGCACCGCGCTCCTAACTCCCTCCCCTCCCACCTCTGCGCCACGGACGCCGACGCCCCCTCCGTCTCCTCGCCGGTGTCAAGAGCC